TATCAAATCTCATAAGAACATTGAGGTCTACAGCAACTGTGTCCCAAATTATCCTGTTTATGCTGTTCTGTAAGGTAAAGGTAAAGGTTCCCCTTGACATTTTTTAGTCAGTCGTGTTTGACTTTAGGGGGCGGTGCTCATCCCCATTTCTAAGCCGTAGAGCCAGCATTTGTCCAAAGACAGTTTCCATTGTCACGTGGCCAGCGCAACTTAGACCCAGAACGTTATTTACCTTCATAGACCCAAAACGCTGTTTACCTTCCCACCAAAATGATTCCTATTTATCTACTTGCATTTACATGCTTTCGAACTGCTAGGTTGGCGAGGAGCTGGGACAAAGCGATGGGAGCCCACTCCGTCGCGTGGATTCGATCTTACGACTGCTGGTCTTCTGACCCTGCAACACACAAAGGCTTCTGCGGTTTAGCCCATAGCGCCACCACGTCCCTTGCTGTTCTGTAGTTACGTATAATTTAAAGATGAGCACATTATTTTTCCCAGACCCACCATCACATGCAACACTGATTATGGTATCCTAACATGAGGTAATGTCAAGGAAAATGTTCCAGCTTTTCCAACTATTGCAACCCTTAAGCTATTATCTTGCACACTAATTATTCCAGCATATAATGTATAATTATGGGGTAGTGAACAGTGTACCAGATATTCCTGCTAAGTGAAGCATGAAAGCCCTGAAAGGCTTTTGGCAAATAATCCTCACAACTAATGTCCATCTCCTCAGAATAACAGTCATTCACTGTTGTCATTTTCTACCATAAAAAGAGGAGCTTAAAATTATGACTAGGTGATGAGTCACAGCTTCAGTTAAAAGGTTTTCTATTTCCTCTCTGACTTTGATCAGGCACAGCTTCTCAGGTATCATGTTTTTAGTTAATTACAACAAAGTTGTTATATTATTATCTCATCATTTACGCATAAATCAAGGTGAGCAACTATGAGCTTTCATAAATGTTTGGACTGCAACTCTCACCACGAGCTACACTGACTAGGATTGATGGACCTGTAGTCCAGAAACACTGTTGCCAACTCCTGATCTGAACAATAGCCCTGACAATTCATGTGCTAAAAACCAATATCAATATTCACTTATAACTAGTACATGTCAGTCAATTCATGTAAATCCATTAAAGAACAGTTGCAATGGTTCATGGTATAGATCAGTGGCTCCCAGCCTTGGGACCCCAGATGGACTAAAACTTCCAGAACCCTTCACCATTAGGATTTCTGGAAGTTGAAGTCCAAGAACATCTTGGAACTCAGGTATAGATTGTAAACGTTATTAAGGACCATTTATAAACCAAGTGCCAAAATGTGTTATCCAAGTGTGTGTTTATTTTTCCAGTGCCAACGCCCAATGAGTTTCCATGGTGAAGTAGGGACTTGAAACAAGGCTTCCTAAGTCCCAGTCTGTCATTCTATCCCCTATGACACACTGGTATCAAGTAGCCAGTTTTATTCCATTTCACAGCGTCTAGGAATCTGCAAAATTATCTGAACAAGACCTTCAAATTTATCTATGGTGTTAAAGCAGCCAGTTCTCTGGTCTCATGAGAGTTTTTGGATATATAAATACTTTGGAGATGCCAATTGCATAGATTCCTCTTACCTCATCAACATGCTCTTCTTTTAAAAAAAAAGACACCTTTTCTTGTTTGGCAAAATGCTTTCTTGTTTGGCAAAACATGGGTCTTCCAGAAACATTTGGCAACTACACAAGATTTTTCACTATTGGGGTAATATGGTCATTTACCACAATACTGCACACCAGCTAAAAGCCAACTTGCTCTTCCAGTTGCCCTGACTCTTCAAGGACAGCCCAGATGCAGCACATTACATCACAGCAAATTATTGCAATCAGGGCATGAGTAGCTGCCAGATCAGATTGGCTGAGCTGTAAGCCAGCATGAAAGGGGTCTACTTTGGGGGAAAAAAAGAAGAGATTCAAGACAGAAACAGATATTAATGACAGCCTGCAATTAGAGCTGAAGGCCCATATAATGTTACAGAGAGGTGAGCTGCTGAAATCAGATTTCAAATCCTGTGCTTCAATTCTGAACACCAATCATATAACAAAGCAATACAAATCACACCATCCAAAATTTGTGCTATGACATTTAGATGCCCCCATTAATTAAGACCCTCTCTCTTCTAGTCATAGGCTATTCCTTAGTGTTTGTTTCTGGCATCAGAATTCCTGATTGGTATGTACATAGCTTTCAACTTGACTAAGGATCTCTGCACACTGTAGCCTAGATATCCTTTTCCAATATTAGCAGCAGCACCAATCACAACAGAGAGGTCATTAAAAGTACCCCGTGCCATGTACAGTTGCCATGTCACACCTACATCTTACTATCTTGTATCAAGAATGCTAGATTATCGTTGTGGTTTAAATGCTTTACAACAAATAAGGTCATGAGACTGTAGTACTTTCTCAGAATTAAAATATACTTCATTCTACGAAATCCCAAGTATTGCTACAAACTTTTTGCTTGCTTCTCTGCATCATGCTCTTGTTGTTCTTGTTGCTGCTCCAGGAATCTAGACAGGGCTTGTCAGACAGTTCTCAGTGGAAGCACCTTCTCTTCAGAACCTTCGCTCTAGGAAGATGAGTCGGGCTGATTGTCTCATAAGCATCAGGATAGAAACTGAAGCTTGCCTTCTTAGAAGAAGTTGGGATCCCTAGTAGGAAGCCTCTGGAGAACATAGTTCCTCTGACCCCCATTAGTACAGCTTATATTGATGGGTCAACATTCAGTATTAAGCTACTAATCACTCCCATCTTTGGTCAATTAGCATCATTTTTCTTCTACTACTACATTCATCAACTCATTGCAAGTATGCACAGTATAAATGTAATATATTGGACCAAATACAACTGCTGGCCTCATCCAGCATATGTCGACCTACCATTCTGCAACTAACTTAACAGATCTACTCTATTGGTTTAAAGCAAATGAATTTAGACCATCATGTTTTAAGGACATAAAACTCTGCATTTGATTGTATTAACAGCCCAGCTATAAAGTAACATCCTTTGTGGATTCCAAGACAAATCTACATAAATTCAGCAACAAGATGAAAGCGATAGTGCCACCTCACTCTGGAAATAAAGTCATGCTGTATTCACCAACCATCATCTCACTGTTCACTGGGCGTTGGCCCTTCATGCACTTCACTAGAAACACTGCCAAACTCTAGGGCAATACAAGCATAATCAAACACTGTCCACTCAGTTGCACCAATCCCTCTGCCTCATCACACCAGGCTTTTGTGCAGCCTCATGCAAGCTACTGTACATGCTTCTGTAAACCAACAGTGAGGACTAGATCTATCTCTTGTGGCACAATGCTCCAGCTGTGTTATAATACACCATAACAAAGAATTACTGTATTTCTTTCATTTTTCAGGGTCATTATTTCATACAGTTAAAACTGAGACAAACGCAGGCTCTATGAATCCTGTAAATGCACTGCTAAGACTCCACAGAAACAAACAGTGTTTAGGATGTAGAAAATGCTGTGCTATAAGACTGTCTGACACCTACTGCAACATCACACCAACATGGTGGCTGTACCAGCTCACATGATACCACAGAGATCCAGGGAAAAATTAATCTCACACGCTCCTTAAAGCTTTTTGTGATGTCACCATCTTATACGTCTAGAGAACCTGAGCCCCAACAACGGTTTCATGCACTTTGAGATGCAAACAGAGAAGTTTATTTGGATGTGATCATCTAATTTTCTCTCAAATCCAGCAAATGCTAAATTAATAACCTGCTATTATATCATACTGAAGTCCTTTATTGACAATAAAGGTGTGGAAAAATCTTGTATACGCACAAAGAATTGCTGTCTTCAAGAACCTTTTGGCAGTCCTAACTCAGAATCTCTTGTTTATGCTCAGAGGCACTGCTAACACAAAATGCAGTGTGCTCATACTTAATTAGAGAATTAAAACCTGATTAAATACTTCATTCGTTTGCAGACTGCCAATGAAAAAAACTATTAGCAGAGAAAAACTTCTTGGGTAACTTTGGAGCGAAGGAGGATGTTGCTGGCACAGGCCTAGCTGATACGCAGGTTCCACTGTGAACAGCTTCATTAATTTTTTAGAGCACCAGAATGATGTTGCAATTTTCCATGCCACTTCGCACACTGTTTACAACAGAGCAACTTCAAAACATAACGTTTCATATAGGGCCAGTTCAAATTACATGGTGTTTAATTCCACTTGAACGACATATGTACTAACCACCTCAAGTAATTATACAGACTTAAGTCCAAAAAGGTGGATTTCTCTCATCCTTGTGCCGCTGAAGCGTACCAAACATACAAAGGAGCACCCTCTCTCTTGGAGACGCAGCTGATGTTTCATTAAATGCTCCAGACTAAATGTGCAATATCTGAAGGAAACCAAATTCCTCAACACAACAGCTGCAAGAAGGGCTGCGTTCTAGGCAAAGCCAGCAGCTGAAGCTGATAATTCGCAGGGCTGATCCTTCCAGCATCTCATACCATCACCAAACCATTTTCCTTACCCAAAGAGATCCTTCTTCTTAAAAAAAAAAAAAAAGGACGAGCATGGGATTCTTTTAGTTTGGGCACTTCAAGGACGTTAATCAGTAATACTAATTAGAGCGCTTTATCTGACGCAGCTGGTGCTCCCTGCCACCGTCGCTCGCCTTCTCCTCCTCCTGAGGACAAGACACGCGAAGGGGCTGCAAGGACAACGACGTGTCTCCCCTCACACCTGCTCAGGCCTGACTCCTGAGGGTCTCCCCGGCGCCCCCATATTCCCCGGCCCTATCCCCAGGGCTCCCTCGCCCGCTCGGCCTCAAGCCGCTTGCTTTTCCTCTTGCGCCAAAGCTTTGGCTTAAGACGGGCCGCCAGGTAGCCGAGAACGCGCCCCGGCCGCCAGGGAGAGACTCCCCGAAAGGCACCTTTGAACCCGCAGCAGGCAGAGCGGCGCCTTACCTGACGGCGACCCGGACGGCGCTCTCGTCTTGGCCGGTCGACATGGCTCAGAGGGGGGAAGGCGCGGGCGCGAGAGAACGACTGCACCATCTAAATATACGTCGCTCCAACTGGGCAGCGATGCGGGGGGGGGGAGAGAGATTTCGGCTCCGCAATGCAAGTCCGGCTGGCTCCAAAACGCTCGCCCTCCGGAAGAAAGGAGACTCTGGCGGGCGAAGGTGGCCGAGAGCTCCTCACCTCCTCCTCCTCCACCTTCTCCTCTCTCCAGCCATTTTAGGTGACTGACTGAATGAATAGGTAGCAGCAGAGCGGCCGCGGCGAGGTTTACACTCCGCCCCCTTGGGCTCCGGCGCGCCCAGCCTCTCCAGG